CCATTACCGGGGGCGGTGGTGGCACGTCGCCCCGCCTCCCTAAGCGTTGTGAGGGATTGTGCGCGGTGGTTCCAAATGTGTCAGGAAAATGGGGATGTCGCCCGTGAATATTTTCCAGGAAATAGTCCACGAAGAAAATATTATTTCTGTCTTTTAAAAAAAAATTGGGGGAAGAAAAAAAGTGAATTTACACACTCACTCTAGGTGTAGAGTGAGAGAAACTCAGTTTTTATTACACTGCGAGTGAAACAATAGTGTGGGTGGTTAGAGGGAGACTTCCCTGGTGTGAAGTATCTGGCTTGAGGTGCAGAAAGAAGGTAGACCGCGTGAGGACTTTGCCGAGAGATTTGGGTCCCTCTTTCTAACTGTCATCTCGTCTTCCTTATTACAAGCACCCTTGACAACAAAGCAGTTGTGGATCATGCCCTGTGCCATTCCATGTCCTTTTCACCTTGACCTCACTGTGAAACTAATCTCGACATTTAGTATTTAAGAACTTCCTGTATCCGCATAGAAGTTTTAAACTTGGCACAAACTTTTTCTAGTATTAGGATTTCAGTATACTGGAACTACTAACAGGATTGAGAAGGGTTTGGTGTTTGGTTAACTGAATTATTATGGGATTGCTCTGGCTTATTTACCTCTCACATATTTGCCTTTATTTCCTAATTAGTAGTGGTTTTGCCCACTTCTGAGCTAGTCACAGTTTCGGTCTCATTTTCTTCAAAAGAAATCCATCTGTTCCTTAAATATAGTAGTTTTCTTCCAAAATGCTAAGCTATTCTGGAAAGCTTACATTTGCTTGATGTATGTTGCTTTACAAATGGCAGTAAGCCCATGTGTTACAGATTGAGGAATTCTTACGATTTCTTCCAGCTAACAGATGATAAACTCTCCTATAAGCAATGAAGCAAGCAAGTCTCTGATTCTTTTGATTTTATGTGATCTTTTGCTTTGATCTGTCATGCAAGATGCAGTGGAAGCTTTTCTCCTGTTTATATGAATAACCTGGCATCTATTAAGATGTGGACTAATGATGTAGACTTCTTTGTTCCTGGAGACTTGAATGGCTACTACTTTCATTTGTTTTTACAAATTGAGAAAAGGTAGAAACTCCAAGACCTCCATTAAGCTAAAGAAAAAGGTTTAAATATTAGGGGACATAGAAATATAAACAAATTATTTCACAAGCCTCATGTCCTTAGTCAAAGGGACTAAGCTATATGTGTGTGTTTTCTCTCTAATCTACCCTCCGCTCCATCTCTCTGTCCTCACCTTTGCTAATAATTCTGATATGAGAGGCCACGACACCTGATTAATGGCTGGCTTGACAGATTATGGGAGAGCAGTGGATGTCCTCTACCTTGGTTTTAGTAAGGCTTTTGACACAGTGTCCAAGTGTCTTTCAAGTGCCAGCAGGTCAAGGGAGGTGATCCTTATCCTCTACTTAATCTTGGTGATGCCGTGTTTGCAGTACTGTGTCCAGTGCTGGGCTCCCAGTACGAGGGAGACGTGGGTGGGCTGGAGTGAACCCCGTGAAGGGCCGCCAAGGTGCTGAAGGGACTGGAGCATCTCTCGAGTGCGGAGAGGCAGCGAGGACGGGAGGCTGCCCAGCCTGGAGAGGAGAAGGCTCGGAGGGATCTTACTAGTGTCTGTGAACACCTGATGGCAGGAGTGTGAAGACAAGAGCTCTTCAGTGGTGCCCAGTGACAGGACGAGAGGCAGTGGGCGCAAACTGAAACTGGGAAATTCCATCTGAATATAAGACAAAGATTTTTACTGTAAGAATGACAGGAAATCCTGTGCCACATGCTCTAGGTGACCCTGTGTAAGCAGGGGGATTGGACTAGGTGATCTTTAAAGGTTCCTTCCAACATCAAATTGTGTTCTACTCTACAGTAGGCAAAATTTCTTGGGTAGGAATTCAAAGTGATTATTTTTCATCTATTCTCTTCATATATTTTATAGCTTTTAGTACAGAATGACTGATGTCATGGTTCTTGCTTAAAAAAAAATCCCACTTCAGTTATACATTCATTGAATTTGTTTTCTTTAAATGTTTAATGGGTATAATGGTCCAGTTGAGAGATCATAGGTTTTAGTCTGTAGCTATTAAGCACTTAACCCTGATAGGGCTTGATATTCAGGAAAACCATTTGGCACAGCATCACTTATGGGAATGTATGTTGAGGAGATGTGTTTTATTTAGAGAACTGCACAGTGGACAGAGATTATCTGTTTATGAAGCCAATTACAATTCTGTAAAAGGACAGTAGACAATATTTGTGTTCCAAAGTCATCTTTATCCCTGGCACATTTAGTGTGCTTTTTCCTCCCAATATTTTAGTTATATGTAAAGCCACTGATACTTTTCAAATACTGTATGGAAATCTTTAATGAAACCCCTTTTTCGTGTACTAGAAAGGACAGAGTTTGTGTTCTGACCGAACAAAGAAGAAGGGCAGTGAGTTTTTTTTTCCCCTAGTGATTACTATTTATAGATTATTTTTCTCTTCAGGTTTATACTGGCTCTTGCCTGAACTTGGAAACTTATGACCAAACTTGTGCATTGGCCCAGGCAAGAACAGGAAAAAGACCAAGAAATAAGACCATTGATTATGGTAGGCTTATTTACCTTTCTAATCTGGCTGTTTGAAAAAGTATTTTAGCTGATAATACTAAGCAACTCTGAGAGTTAAACTGTAATCCTTGTATTTTCACTGCTCACCACAGCTCTCAAAGACCTCAGCACACAAATAGACTTTCTGAGGTAGTCATGGTTATAACAAAGAGAGTTTTAGCGCTGGCTGCAGCATAACAACGACTGAGCTGCAGAATTCCACTACTTAAGATTTGGAAGTCTAAGACACAACATCTGTGAAGATGAAACATGACCAAAGACCATAAAACAGGTTCATTTTAGCATCTCTGACAGCTGTTGAAGGTACATGACATCTTTTGTGTCAATAGTAGTGTTGTCATTACCATGATGGTCTGGGGACATAGGAAAACATTTTTAGGTAGAGAACTTTCATTAGACTAGTTGATT